TGCTTTCAGATTGCGTTGCACAGATCCTACTCGGTTTCTGCCGCCAATGTGTAATTAGAATTTATCAGCAGAGTCTACTCGGTTTCTGTTGCTAATTTGCTGGCATAGAATGTCAACAGATTCTGTCAGATTTCTAGCAACTGTTTGCCGACATCGTTAGATATTACAGAAACTGTGAGAAATCTATTGCCTTTTTGGTATCAAAAATTTATAGCACACTCTGCGCATGATCTGTCTTTTCAGGTTTGGCTATTGGGGTTGTTAGGTCAATCTGTCGCATTGCTATTATCAGAAATCAGCCCCAAATGACTTCCGACAAACCTAGACCTTGATCTTGACCCTTAAGGAGTTCAAGGTCATTTCCCATCGCACATTGTTTATCAAAAAGTTATTAATAAAACAAATTTTATACATGGAACGCAATGATATAGGTTTTGGGGGGTTCGGGGACTAATATTTATAGTAATAATGCCGACTAGAGGACCCAGCTCCAATGTCCTTGACCTTGACATATATTGTCAAGGTTATGACCCTGAGTGACTATCAAAAGGGTTTAGTCATCACTCGTTATTTGTTAAAAAGTTATTAACGAAAAAGTAACAAAAACAATAATCCCAATGGGGGGTTGGGAGGGCGAACCCCCCCCCCCCAGTAGGTAGTATGAGCGCAGGCGGGAGGGAGGGTGCAGGGGGGAGAGGCGGAGCCTCTCCCCCGCCTATTACATAGCTAATATCTATTGTAGAAACAGAAAATACATGCTTTAATGCTCCTACTTGTTTAGCAAGATGAAGATTTAATAAATATTCAATTTAATATACTATCTACCTTGCGTAGGGGTCTGTCTAATCTTTTTGGTAATTATTATTTTTAGTGTATTCTAGACTCATTTATTTAGTAAGGCAAAGATTTAATAAATATTTCTACCTTGCGTAAAGGTCTGTCTAACCTTTTCGGTATCTATTATTTTTAGTGTATTTTAGACTCATTTATTTGGTAAAGCAAAGATTTAATAAACATTTCTACCTTGCGTAGGGGTCTGTCTAATCTTTTCGGTATTATTTTTTGTATATTGTAGACTCATTCATTGAATAAAAATGAGCATATAACTTGTTATGTTAATAACTTTTTAATAAACAATGAGCGACAGGAAATGTCAGTGACCTTGAACTCCTTAAGAGTCAAGGTCAAGATCAAGATCAGTCGGAAGTCATTTGGGACTGACTGTGTAAAGGTAAACATTTTCTATTCGTCGATAGTTTTGAATTATAAAGTTTTCATACACTAAATTTTAAAAATATAAATCATAACTCTGTTCTAAAATAAAATTTAAAAGAATTTTAAATTGAGAGTTATTGCATAATTCTCTCAGGTTTTTCTCTTTTTCTCTCGTTCTCTGAAACACATTACGGAAATATTGCATTTAATATTTGCAAAAAAACAAACTTGATATTTACAAAGTGTTCCGAGAATTAACTTACAAACTTCAAATTAGATGTGCCACGTGTTCTCGTTGTTCGATCGAGCTCAACTTTTATACAACTTTTTTTCACCAAATAGAACAATTTTAGGTGGCGTCGTGAACAAAATTCAAAAGTTAAAAATATAGTCCACCTTAGTCTACACATTGATTGACCAAAAAAATCTTGAACGTTGCGAAATGCACTGGTCATATTCCACCCGCCGTATTGCATTCAATATCCCGAATCCTGCTTTAATAACTGAAAATTCCGTGATTGGTGACCCAAAAAATTCCAGTTTTGTGAATCTTATACAAAAAATTAGCGTTATTTGAAAATTGGCTAAGTTTGAGTATATTGGATTTGCCATTGTTTTATAATGATGACTGCGGATTCGTATTCAGCGATCCTTAATTTATAGAAATAGAAAAATTTTCTAGTCTCTTATGCTTTAGTAATTAAAGTTTGTTCAAAAAACTTTTTGACGTCCATTATAGTTGCGATTCTGGATCTGTCATATTGAATTTTTAAAAAGGCCAGAGTGCTAATGAAAGTAGTCAAGTGTACCTACAATTTGAGCCCAAGAAGAAATTTTTTGGTTGAGCTAAATTTTGGGCAGAGGGAGTGGCCCGCTTGGCAGAGAATGCCCCATACACAGTGCGGTCCATAAGTTCGCGAACTGATTTTTTTGCAGCCTTCCCATTGACGTCATTTATCGGACGACTGTTGAACTACGTAGTGTGAACCGTTTCGAACAGCCGTGTTGAGTAGCATAATTTTAGCCGCAGTTATTAAAGAGTGCGGACGTCTGATATAACCTGGTGTTGTGTATGTGTGTCAGACTCGGGAGATGGACGGGAAGGAGGAACAGCGGGTTCTCTCTAAATTTTCTGGAGTGAATTCTCACTCTTTTGGAGTAAATCTCACTCCAAAAGAGTAAAAATACTGCTACTTAAATGGCCGAGTGGCAGTATTTTCAATCTTTTGGAATGAGATTTACTAAAAAAAAATTAGAAAGTAGCAATTAAATTTTGTAC